GAGTCCATTGAGTCGGCCATTTTGTTCACTGTAGTTGCATAACCTACACTAGTGAGCTGAATTGTAGAAGCACAGCGGGGTGATCACAAAGTAAAGGCTATCTGAGGAAATTTTTCTAGTGGATATGTAGAGAAGGGCTTGAACGTGTATTCTAACTCGAGTGTGATGTATTTAGACCGTCTTTTTGTGCCAAAATCTTGTAAGAAGGAGGTACTCCGAGGGTTCCATCATTCACGTCTTGTGGTACACTTGGAAGGCATAAAGATATATCACGACCTTATTCACCAGTTTTGGTAGAGGGAGATGAAGAGAGACGTAGCCTTGTTTGTTTCAAGATGTCTTACTTGTCAACAAGTAAAAGCCGATCATCAACGACCAACGGGTTTGTTGTAGCTCTTACTTATAGCCGAGTGGAAATAAGAGCATGTCACGATGATTTTTGTTGTGGGTCTTTCTAGGACTCAACGGGGTAATGATGCCGTGTGGGTGATAGTCGACCGGTTAACTAAATCAACACACTTTGTACCTATGCGCACGAGTGACTCGGTAGATTATCTTGCTGGCCTTTATGTTAGGGACATAGTTTGATTTCATGGGCTCCCTATGACTATCGTTTCAGATAGAAATTCACGTTTTATGGCTCAATTATGGTAAAGCCTGCAGAATACTTTGGGCACTAGATTGACGTTTAGCATCGCTTATCATCCTTAGATTGATGGGCAGTTCGAGCAAACCATTCAGATCTTAAAGCACATGCTTTGGGGTTGTGTTCTTGATTTTAAGAGATCGTGGAAAAGGCATTTACCTTTGGTGGAGTTTGCCTATAATAATAGTTTCCAGGCAAGTATTGGTATGGCATCGTTTAAGGCCTTGTATGGCCAACCGTGTAGATCTCTAGTGTGTTAGGCCGAGGTGGGTGACGCACCTATGTTAGGTCTTGAATTAGTCTGGGAAATGACGGAGAATGTCGTACTTATTCGTAAGAGGTTGGTTTCGGCTCAAAGTCTTTAGAAAAGCTATGCCGACCATAGAAGGAGACCAAGATCTTTTGATGTAGAAGATCATGTATTCTTGAAAATATCACCAAGATGAGGTTTAATGAGATTTGGAAAGAGCGGGAAGTCGTCTCCTAGGTTTATTGGGCCTTTCGAGATTCTAGAGCAGATTGGGGAGGTAGCTTATTGTTTGGCCTTGCTACCCTAACTTTCTGGGGTTCATAATGTGTTTCATATTTGTATGCTCTAGAAGTATAAGCCTGACCCTTCACACGTGTTGGATTGGACCGAGTTAAAGGTAAATGAAGATGCCTCGTACGAGGAGAGGCTGGTACAGGTTTAGATACTTAGGACCAAGTCTTGCGAGGCAAGACTATTCCATTGGTTAAGGTGTTGTGGCGACACCATGGGATTGAGGAGGCCACTTGGGAGCATGAGGCAGAAGTCCGTCAAAAGTATCCGGACCTATTTGTTAATGTTTGAGACTTGTATTGAAAATCTTTTTCATGTTGTGAAATGTATGCATTGTAAATGTTTTGGAAAGTTAAATTCTAATATTTGGTGTTGAAAGACTCTATTTATCATTGTTACAAGTATGGATGATCAATGGTTTGGTCTAAATCTAGTGATTGTTGGTTTGATTTAAATTTCGGGGATGAATTTCCTTAAGGGGAGCATATTATAACGATATCGGTCTAGACCCGTCCCATTTCTTGCTTTTGAATCCGAGAATCCATATCCTCAACTATTGTTCATCTGATTTTCATCTTGTTGCTAGTTGAGTTTGGTTGTTTTGGAGTTATTGTTGCATTTGGAACAGGTTGGGGGTTACTTTCCCCAAAGAGTTGTTGTCTAGATTTTTGTTTGTTCGCTTGAGCGGTCTTTTATAGTCTGCAAAACTTCTAGAAGTGAAGTATCTTCGCTCGACCGATATTTCTTGCGCTCGAGCAGTCTTTTTCAGGTCTGAGTTTCTAGGAGGGGGTTATTGTGCGCTCGAGCCATGTTTTTAGTTGCTCAAGCGGTGTCATTTTTTATGTCTAACGCTCAAGCAATGTTTTGGTCGCTTGAGCGGTCTACGTGTATATCAGTTCAGGAAAAGAGTTTACTGAATCACTTTTCACTTTCTCTCTCTCTCTCTCTCTCTAGTTCTTGCATTCAAGCCCCAAATACTCCCAATCTATTGATTTCTTCACCCTAGTCCTTTAGAGAAAAAGGTAGAGCACGTCAAGAGCTTTAATCTAATTAGAGAGGATATCATTTTCGGCTCCGCCTAACTTTAACCTTTGCTCTCTCTTGTCTTCTATTCTTGAAGTAGGGATTTCTTCAACCTTTGGTAGGATGTTTACATTAGTTATTTGTTCATTGAAAGAATCTAGTGATTTGGGAATTTTGGGTTAAACCTAGGGTTTGATTTTGAAATGTAAAAGAGGGATTTCCAAATGGGTTCTTGAGGAAGGTAGTGGGGATTTGTTTTTGGTTAGGATATGTTAAAATGGTGGATTTCATTACTTAAAATTGATTTTGAAAGTAAATGGGATTTTCTTCTAAAATCATTGATATTTGGTTTGTGAAAGAAAATGGAAAATGATGTTAGGTTTTGAAAGAACAGAATGAATGTGTATGTTGATGATGATGGTGGAGTTAAATATGTAACATCACTCCTATTTTGAAAATGATGAGTTTATATCTTTTGTTGGAAATTATATATTGAATAAAAATATCTGTTTTGAGCTATCGATGGAAGATAGCTTTGATTGTTGTAGAAATTGCATGAGGATTAAGTGAATTGTAACTAATTACTCATACAACTTGGATTAAGCATTATTTCATACTTAAACATTGAAAATGTATTGTTTTGAGAAAAATGGGTGAATATTTTGGTGAATCTCGTTAGGGGGTTTGGTTGTGGTTATTATGTTGGCTTGTGTGTCTTTGGTGAAAGTCTAGAAACTAACGCGGTTAGGTGCCGATCCTTCCGGTTGGTACTGGTAAAATAGCTTTGGTAGTGCTTGTGTAGTCTATTAGCAGACACATACCTAGAGATTCCTAGTGTTTTGTATCCACTGCCATGTTTTTTGATATAAAAGGTTATTTTCATAAATTTATATGTAATCTGGCATTGTATTATTTTGAGATTGAATAGTGAAATGTTTGACAAATGACACGTATATACATTCACCTTATGACTTCGTTAAGATTCATATCTTGTGTAAAAGTATCTCTACTAGGTTTTAGGTCACCTTATATGAAGAACAACTTTCAGGTGCTGATGATATCCCTCCACCAAAGACATAGTTTGGTTGGACTTGGAGCTTCATTTTGATGTAATTATTTTTATACAAGCCTTATGTTGTAATTGTATTGAGTTGAACTTATTTTGATATACCCAAGCATTGACTTGGAAAGATATAGCCATTAGGGCATATAATTACTTGATTTTACATTTATATGAATTCATGTATCCATGACATATACTATAAATTCAGGATCTAAGATTTATGTATACGCATATGTCATCTTTCGTATGATCAAAGATTATAAATGGAATAATAAATATGATATTATTGATCAATTCTATGGATAATAAGATGTGAGTTATTGTTATTATTTCGAGGCGTTACAGAAATGAAAAATCCCACATTTCAAGCCATTCCAAATCAAAACTCTACAATTTGAAATTATACATTTGTTTAAAATTTACTATGGAGTTTTTGTACTCATTTTGTAATGTTTGAAAAAATCTCACATTTCAAGCTATTCCAAATCAAAACCCTATAATTTGAAATTACATATTTTCCAAAGCTTATAAGGGGTTTGTGTAATCAAAACCCCACAATGTGAAATTATACATTTGCCTAAAGCCCCCTGAGGGGTTTTTGTAATCAAAACCCCACAATGTGAAATTATACATTTGCCTAAAGCCCCCTGAGGGGTTTTTGTAATCAAAACCCCACAATTTGAAATATTATATTTTCCCAAAGCTTGCTAAGGGATTTTGTAATCTTTTGAAATGTTTGAAAACTCCTACATTTTAAGTCGTTCCAGATCCAAATCTCATAGTTTGAAATTATACATTTGCTCAAAGTTTACTAAGAAATTTTTGTACCCTTTTTAAAATATTTGAAAAATCCAATATTTCAAACATTCCAATAAAAAAGATTCCCATACCAGGTTGTGTATCTTAACTTTTTCGCACAAAAGAAAAAAAAATAAAAAAAAGGAAACATAATGAACATAAGGGTACAATATAACGATAAACCTAATCTTCAAAGAATATATTAAATCCAACTTTCTAAAATCAATGAGACTAATTGGTCTATAAGAAAAACTTTAGTACTAAATGGATCACCACTCCTCAAGATAAGATTTATAGGTAATTTTTTCTGATTTTTAGCATTTTTTGTTTTATTTTGTTTAAATTTTTTAGATCTCACCCTTCTTCTCTTGCAAGTCTATCAAATTCTTATAAACTAATGTTTGAAAAATTGTCAGTGATAAATGATTAACAATGATAAATTTATCACTAATAAGAATTATTGTGTGTGAATGATAGTGTGAGAATGAGCAACGAAGTGAGATCTCTCTCCCTCTCAAATCATATTTGTCATTTATAATATTTTTTACAATTTTAACACTAATAAATTTATCACTGAGAAAAACTACTAGTAAGGTCTTTCATTTTCCTCTTCATCTATCCCTTTGCTACTTCTCTCCCTCCCCCCCATTTTTTTTTGTCACCACTAGATCTGAAAAGATGTTGACGGTAGTGACATGGTAGAGATGAACATTATTTTTTTTTTTCAAAAAATAACTTCAAAAATGTTGCTTGAAACTATCACCTGAGATCGATGGTGGTTGTCGGAGGTGGTTAACGGAGGTCACACGGCCGCTGGAGGTCGAGCGACTGCCAAAGGTAGTTGCTAGTGATGATGTCATGAACTGGTCTTGTGCCAAAGCAAGCATTCAACATAAGAACACATTGAGCTACTCAGAGCAACACATACATACATCATTGAAACCATTTGCAGAAACTACTAATAATCCTTTTTTTTGGGAAGCCAAACAGTTTTTGACACCAACATAATGCATATTACAATCTACTTACCAATTAAAATAAAAAATCAGTGATAAATTTATGTTCCTCGTTATAAATTACAACTCAAGCTAACTACATCGCCTAAACAGAGGCCAGATGCTTTCAACCCAATGCAGGAAGGGCTTCCCATGAGAAGCTCCAAAAGAAGTATAAGAGAGCATCTGCGGAGTGACGATAAACATGAGGTTCAAGTTGCTCACTGTAGACACTAGCTGTGCAAAATCACTGCAGAGGTTCTTGAAGCTATCAATCAACTTTGTATAAAGTAACCTGAACAGATATAAACGCTTGAATCAGATTAAAGTGGTTATGCATTCAAAATACTGAACTATGAAAATATTTAAAATGAGTACCACCAATTTTGGCTGTCAATTCATCCAATGGTATAAGAGTTTTTGTAAAACTCCAAAGCTAAGAAGCCAGGAGTGGACATCGACCCGATGCCCCAATAAACCTGCCCATGTTTTATAGAGCTTGGGATTATGGTTTAGGCCATAGGGACGGGGTTGGACAAAATTTTCAAGCCTGATTATATTGTGTGCCGGAATTGGGAAGAGTGCTTCAAGCCGCCCCACCCTGCCTACAACCTATATATTACTAATCATGTGAAAGAACTGGCTATCAAATTTGAACTACTAACCTTGAATAAGTTAAAAAGGCACCCAAATCATTAAACTAACTATATTTTTTATTTTGAAATATGAAAAAAAAAATTATATTAAATAATATCTAGGCCATATCGCTGGGCTTTAATTTTTTTAATTTTGTTCTTTGATGGGCTTGACAATGAAGTATAGACCCAATCCCAGGCAGGACTAGGGAAACTACTTCAACTGTTGCTATGTAGTATGGGCCTAGCCTGAGCCTAGCCCAGACCGGCCCATGTCCACCCTAAAAAAGCTACTTGTTTATGACTAGGAGTTCCCCATCGGTCCAGAACTAGAAGTCAAAAATTAATTACACTTCCAATGCAACAACAGTCAAACTCAAAGCTTAAGTCCATAAACAACACCTTTCTGGAGGCTCAAGTTCTTAATTTTACTAATAATTTAACTTTCACAAGTTTATCGTATTTCTCAAACGTAAATCCCTTAACTTGTTATAACTTATAACTGTTGTTTCAGCAGGGCATAGGTTACTCAACCGTGATACATGACAAACATTAGCCCATCAAAGGCACAATTCAAGGTTGGACTCATATCAGTAAAGCTTATTACTATTACAAACTAGAACAATTGGCACAGATGCAGTAAAAAAATATACCTACATCCTACTCTCAAAATATATTTCATATTTGACAATGGCATCAATATAGCGTCATCAAAGGACATAGCTCCTCACAAATATAAGAGGGAAACATGAGGGTAACATGACATGTAGCAATAGTTGAAAGGAAGTAAACAGATCAAGGATATATTGCATAATTAGAGCCTAATTTGGAAATTCTATAATACACATCCTATGAAGTACGGGCGCCTCTCCAAAAGTGACATACAGATGTCCAACACAGACACACTGGGACAAGTTGAGAACACACTAGGACACACTGGGGACACCTGAAGACACGTTGGGGACAAGTTGAGGACCATCTTTTTCAAAAAAAGAAATATATATTTTTTTATTTTATTTTACTAAAATAGAAAACCTAATGTTGATAAGTTCGATAAAATTAAATATTTAACACAAAATAAATTTTAAATATTTAAAAATATGAAATATAATAAATTTATATAGTTATATGTTTCACACGTGTGCCCAACATGTGTCTTGCATTATTTGAAAATTTGCATATCTGTGTCGTGTCACATGTCCGTATTCATGCTTCTTAGTACACCTCAAAAAAGGTGCATCATATGTCCAATTATGACCTGTGTTTTTAGCTATGAAGCACGGGTACGGATACTAGTACGATACGGATACGTCGATACGGTAAAATCCAAAAAAAATAAGGTACGGGCTTGTAAAAAAATATTTATTTTTAATTTTGAATAATGTAAAAATTAATTAAATGGTTTAATTTGTTAAGATCCAACCTATAATTAACATTTAATACCAAAAGTAAATGTATAAATCAAAATTAAATGTCAATATATTAAATAACTTACAAACCATAGTTTAATTTTAAAATCATACTAAGCATAAAACTAAAAAAAAAAAAATTAGTGAAAGGAGTTTTATCTCTGTAGTAGAAGAAAATATTATTCCAACTGAGGTACGGTACGACTTGGGTACATACTAGGTGTGTCTGAGTACGTCAAAAATTAAAAAGAAAAAATTTGAGTACGTGTTTCATGTACACGGTACGTATGCAAAAGTATCAAACGAGATACCATACGCCGATAAGTATCCAATACGAGTACAACATGTTTTTCAAAGTACTCAAGCTTCATAGGTTTTTTTGTTATACCATACGCCGGTAAGTATCCAATACGAGTACAGCATGTTTTTCAAAATACTCAAGCTTCATAGGTTTTTTTGTTATGACCCATTGTGGTGCTGGTTATAACTTTGTTATAACTCATCGTGGTGTTAGTTATGACCATTTGTAGTTTTGTTATGACCTTTTGTGGTTTTTATTTTAGTTATGACTAAGGTTGTTAAGATTGGGATCCTACACAGGATCGTTTTAGGGGTCAGTTGGATCAGATCATAGGATCGGATTAAGGATCATAAGATCCTACTAAAATGATAAAAAAAAAATAAAAAAATAAAAAAAAAGCAATAAATTTTATATGACTAAGTAATATTATCAAAACATATATAGAATGATCTCAAAAAATATATATATATATAATAAATAAATAATAATAATAATAATAATAATAAATGCATAAATAAATAAATACAATTCCATAGTATGTCAAAAAGTGCTTAATGAAAACTTGTGGTTTAAAACGATAGCAGTTATTAATTTTAAATTATTAGAAATCTTTGTTTAAAGGAATAGATTGTGGGACATCGTATTTGTAATATTAAATATTTAGTAAGCGGTAAGTGATATTTTATAGTTTGGTAATGAGATTTTTAAACGTGAATCTAGCTTATAATCATACATAATTTTAGGGATCATTGTAAACTACCAAGAGGGAAATAATCGTACCAATTGTGAGAAGCCGCCGTAACAGCCGTAACGGCCTGTTCAGGCCGTTACGGCTGTTAACGCACCGTTACGTAACGGTTCCAAACTGTTTCTTCTGAAAAAACACAAAAAAAAACTAAAAATGAGGGAAGAGGGATAGAGAGAAGAGAGAAGATAAAGAGAGAAAATGGAGGAGCAAGAGAGAGAGAGAAGAGGAAAGATGAAGAACATGTTTTTGATTTGTTGAAACTGTAAGACCTATGCTATTCTATTCAGCTGCTATCACTAAACCATTTTGTTTGTGTGTGTCTATCTATATATTGTTTGAAAATAATAATAATAATAAGTGTGGTCATTATCTATTTGGCTTGGTTAAAATATGTATATATATATATTTAGGCTCTTATTTATTCTCTTACTTTTGTCATTGTTTATCTTATATATAATAGTTAGTGATTGATTTTTTGTATAATATAAAGTCATTAATTATTAAAATAAAATGTAAAAAACTCAGTTTATAGTGATTTAAAAATATGAAATATATTGCATCATACTTAAAAAAATTTTAAAAATTGATCAATATTTATTTTCAACCCAATAAATATAATCATAGAAAAAAAATATGCGTATCGGTAAGTTTTTTTCAAATTGTGCGAAAAATAAAAAAATTCACGGTTCCGGTTACCGCAACCGTTACACTACGGCCTTTACACCCCGCAACCGCAACCACGTCACCGCCACCGTTACGGCGACCGCAACCGCTTATATGTTTCACACGTGTGCCCAACATGTTGTGTCCTGCATTATTTGAAAATTTACGTATCTATGTCGTGTCACATGTCCGTATTCATGCTTCTTAGTACACCTCAAAAAAGGTGCATCATATGTCCAATTATGACCTGTGTTTTTAGCTATGAATCACGGGTACAGATACTAGTACGATACGGATACGTCGATACGGTAAAATTCAAAAAAAGTAAGGTACGGGCTTGTAAAAAAATATTTATTTTTAATTTTGAATAATGTAAAAATTAATTAAATGGTTTAATTTGTTAAGATCTAACATATAATTAACATTTAATACCAAAAGTAAATGTATAAATCAAAATTAAATGTCAATATATTAAATAACTTACAAACCATAGTTTAATTTTAAAATCATACTAAGCATAAAACTAAAAAAAAAATTAGTGAAAGGAGTTTTATCTCTGTAGTAGAAGAAAATATTATTTCAACTGAGGTACGGTACGACTTGGGTACATACTAGGTGTGTCTGAGTACGTCAAAAATTAAAAAGAAAAAAATTTGGGTACGTGTTTCATGTACACGGTACGTATGCAAAAGTACCATACGAGATACCATACGCCGGTAAGTATCCAATACGAGTACAACATGTTTTTCAAAGTACTCAAGCTTCATAGGTTTTTTTGTTATACCATTCGCCGGTAAGTATCCAATACGAGTACAGCATGTTTTTCAAAGTACTCAAGCTTCATAGGTTTTTTTGTTATGACCCATTGTGGTGTTATAACTCTGTTATAACTCATCGTGGTGTTAGTTATGACCATTTGTGGTTTTGTTATGACCTTTTGTGGTTTTTATTTTAGTTATGACTAAGGTTGTTAAGATTGGGATCCTACACATGATCGTTTTAGGGGTCAGTTGAATCAGATCGTAGGATCGGATTAAGGATCGTAAGATCCTACTAAAATAATAAAAAAAAATAAAAAAATAAAAAAAAAAAGCAATAAATTTTATATGACTAAGTAATATTATCAAAACATATATAGAATGATCTCAAAAAATATATATATATATAGCAATTAAAGGTAGCATTTAAACATTTTTTCTCAAAAAAAATAACATAACATAACATAATAAAAGAAAAGAAAATACCAACACTTGCACAACATTCTCATTGTTTCTTAATGAAAGGAAGACAAACTAAATAAGGGAAGAACAAATAAAATACTAAAATAAGTCATTATTGTCGCCGAAATTATCATCATTGCCGCAATCAACATTAATGTCATTGCCACAGTCATCATCATCACCCACGGTATCATCCGACTCCTTAATGTCTTCACCAATAGTAGCATTTTTAAAATTAAAAGAGCTTTTTTTCCAGCATAAGTTCAGGGAAAAAGAACCAAAGTAGGAGAGACCAAAAATAAATAAAAAATAAAAACTAAAAAAAAGAGTACACAGCAAGAGGAAAAAAGAATGAAGAAGAACCAAGAAAAATGAAGAACACCAAAAAGAGAGAGAGCAGAATACTGTCCTGGAAAAAAGTTGGAAGAAGAAAAAAGGGTGATTTGATTTGATTCAAATCAAACAAAGAGGAAAAGAAGAGCAACGAAGAAGAAGAAGAGCAATAGAAAAAGAAAAAAGAAAGAGAGAGAGAGAGAGAGAGAAGATTCAAATAGAAGAAGAAGAAGAATAGTACATGGTTCTAGAAAATCTGAAGCTTTGAGGTCCAATCTCTTTTTCCCCAACGTGTTATTGTGAGAATAATATTAGTATATATATACTATGTGAATATTGGTTCTCACCGTGTGAGAATAATATTAGTATAGTATATATTATGTGAATATTGTTTTCATAGTTTTACCCTAATCGCATGTGTTCTTCAGCTTAGAGAGTAATGTTTTTTACTTAAAGCTAGCAAAAAAGCCCTCTTAAACAGAATCGCAGAGAATACCAATCCTGATACAATCCCAAGGATCCTGATGTAGGCCCGATCCAAAGTACAAGTTGGATCGAATTGTATATATTGGATCATACGATCCTACAATCCGGATCGCGATCTTAACAACCTTGGTTATGACCAAAGAGATCTTTGATTATGCCTCCCGTGATATTTGGTTATAACCCTTAAGGTTTCGAAAAACGGTTGCGGTCGCTATAACGGTTACAATCGTGCAGATGCGGTTGCGGAGTGTAAAGGCCGTAGCATAACGGTTATGATAACCGAAACTGTAATTTTTTTAAATTTTTCACATAATTTGAAAAAAACTTGTTGATACGCATATATATTTTTTTTCAAAATCACATTTATTATGGTTTAAAACAAATTTTGATCAATTTTTGTTAATTTTTAAGTATGATCCAATATATTTCATATTTTTAAAACACTATAAAAGGAGTTTTTTACATTTTATTTTAATACTTAATAACTTTAGAAATAATTGATTTTAAATGTCTACAAAATTATTTTTGACCAATACTTGAAGTAACTAAGTAAATAATATTTACAATTATTAAATGAAACGATTATAAAAATAAATATTGTGCCATAAACAAAAATTATTTTTGAGCTAATATTTTTTTTTTTAAAAAGACAGTTTTTTAGACAACACTTTATAGCTAACTAAATAAAATTATTTACAATTAAGTATTAAATGAAATAATTATAAAAATAAAAATTGTGCCATAAGCAAAAATTATTTTTGAGCTATTGATTTTTTTTTAAAGACATTTTTTAGACAACACATTACAATAACAAAATAAAAATATTTATAATTAAATATTAAATGAAATGATTATAAAAATAAATGCAACCACTGCTTATATATTCTTTATTTTACATGTTAATGTAATGAAATAAAAATAAAAATAAAAAAATTATACAAAAAAAAATTCATACAAGGTTTTTTTCTTTGGATTTAGATCACTTGAGTATTCGTTCTTTTTCGTAAGCTTTTTTTTTTTGGAAAAGAAACTATTCAGAATATTGTAAGATGTGTAACGGTGTATAACGGGCCATTACGGTACCGCTACGGCCGTTACATAACACCGAAACGACCGTTACACATGTGAATTTCGGTCCCACTGCAAAAACGGGTGTAACGGGTAACGCCTACCACCGCAACTGTTACGCAACACCACTTGTTAAAACCTTGCCCTTGGTTATGACTCATTATATATTAGTTATGATCTATTATGTAATTATTTTGGTTATAACCGAAAAGGTCTTTGATTACTCCTTAAGTGGTGTTTGGTTATGACCCATTGTACTTTTTTTATTATGACTAAAGGGGTTGTTTGGGTTAATCTAAAATAACACATCTTTTTATCTTATTTGGATCACATCACCTCTCTACCACATTGCACATATTTTCGTAAAAAATTAAAAAAATATACATATTTATATCATCCCGAACAACCCCTTAGTTATGATATTTTTGGTATCAACACCACAAATGTCATAAATTGCATATAGTACACACCCCAAAAAGGGGTGTGTAGAATGACCCTTTAGACAAATATATAGAAGTATGTTTCCTCCACTACTATTAAAATTCAAAAGTCTACAGGTTCGGATAAAATTTTCCTATATGACAGCAACCAAAACCTATGTATGTTCTGTACATGACTAGAAGTGTGGCACACACTACACTTATGCACTTTACAACACCCTATCAATTCAATTTTATCTTTTATGTTTTTTTTCCCAAAATCTATTTCTCTACTAGCCTCCACTCCACTCCCTTCTCTTTTCAGTTGCTCATTGAATCACTCAAAAAGTGGCAAGTTATAGATATTCCCTACTTATTTATACTTGACAGGAAAATATACAATCAAAATTATTAACTACATGGATTAAAAAAATGACAGGGCTTGGAAAAAGGGAATACCAAACTGGGGTGAGGTGTTCCCGAAAACCAAAATACATTTACTTGAGAAAATACTTCACTAAAATTGAATTTCAGTCAGGAGACATTACCAGTTTAAAATTTATCCTCATAGGATATGAGAGTCACTTATTTGGCTTAGATGCCACGGTTCTCTGCACAGTAGAAACACCGTCCACAAACTTTGTCCGGAAAAGAACATTAGCATTGTTGAACATGCCTTCTTTCAAAGAAACCACAATGAACTGCAGTAAAAAGACCAAAAAGAAGTCATAACAAAAGAAGCCAAACTAAATATGGTAAATTTGGAAGATATTGTCAAAAATCTGTTATCAAGAAATGTTAACTGCTGCGATGACTAGGGGCAGATTTGATGTCTTATGGCTCACTAGTTTCTGTTTCTGACAGCAGCAAACACATTTTTGAACAAGTTAAATATTCTGGTTCTCTCTTCTAGTAAAACTTCAGCAATACTTAAAACATTAATTATAGACAGTTACTTGAACAAGTAGAGCTGTAAATTAAGATTGCATCGATTCTACCTGTCAGGATTGACAGGGCCAGAGCTAGCTAAACCTTTTGGGGAGAACAATTGCTTGAGAACTGACTAAAAGTCTGTGGATTAAGAAAAATAAAAAAAGAAAGCAACAAACATCAGTGATCACAAGAAAGAATATCAAACCTGTGAATGTGGAAAGTGAGTTTTGATCATTCTTCCAATGTTCTGGGTGTGGCTTAGATCAAGAGCTGCATCAACCTGTCAAACAATAGTAGAAACAACAAACTTGAAGATTAAGACAAGTGTGCAATCTACACGAGTAGAATCCGACGAGCAATTTGCTGAACAAGAACAAAATGAAATATATAAAATAAAAATCAAATAAGAACATATTAAAAGTCAAATAAACAAAGTCAAAACATTATTTCTGGAAAAATTAACTTCCTGCCAAGGAAAGAGAAGGCAAGTCTGAATTGTGAATATCCATGGCTCCAATTTCATATTTTCAAGTTACTAGTAAGATGCACCAAAGTAGAATGAACTTTCCAAGTTCATTCACCTTGTGGAGAACCTGATTCTAGAAGTATTAAAACAAGTACCTAGCTCAGCAAAAGTCTCTTAATCCATAAAGTAACTGTAGGAGGGGAAAAAAACCATTCTACATCTACAGCACTACAAAGCTGTTGACAGGTAACATTGTATTGGTCAAATCAAACATCGTAGGACTTAAGAGCCAGCAAAAAAATGCAGATAAATAAATTGCACCCTCACCTCTCAAAACAAGCAGTACACTTTCATTCCATAACGATGAATTTAGCTATCCAAAATGATCTAATTTCTCAATTACTTTCTTGAAGGATTCTTTAAGAGGGAAAAAAAATCAAATACAATGAACTAAAATATAGGGAGAAAATGTTAAAAAATCTCCCATAATGCACGTAGAAATTTGCTTTACATGATTAATTTGAATGGGAAAAAAAAAAGACTAAGGCCTAGTTTGGGAAGATTAAATAAGTGCACTTTTTGACTTTTTATGAAATATGGGTTGGGTTTGAAGTGATGTGTTAGAGAGGTGATGCGACTTAAATAAGATGATGTGACTTAAATAGGATAGTGACTTTTTGACTTTTTATCTTTTTTCAATTATGCCAAACTTGGCCTAAATTTATCTTCAGTCCGGATAACATAATTCTTGACATATGGCCCATCCCAAAGTATACAAAAACCAACCTAATAACCTGTGCAGCTGTGCCATAGGTTTACATTGTGAAGTTTCCTAAAGGACATTCTATATACTTGATTTCAAATGCCTATACAAGATTGTACTCTACTATGACACATGAACACGGACATGTGACAAGATATAGACACATAAATTTTCAAATAATTTAGGATACAACATGTGGGGGACACATACAAAATATATAATTTTTATATTTATTATATGTCATATTTAAGGATAAATAATTATTATATTTCATATATATGAATATTTAAACCAAAGACAATAAATTTTGAAGTCTAAAGGAGGAGAATAGGAGATTTAATTTATTTTATTTTATCATTGGATTCCAAGCTATTTTAGTCATACTTGCAACGTGTTTTATGTGTCTTAAAGTGTTAAGAAGTGTCCAACAAGTGTCATGTCATGTCAGTGTCCAACACAGTGTTGGACACGACACATTACGTTTTTAGAAGTGTCCACGCTTCTTAGGTACTCTATATACGTAGTTAAATAGCAAATGATGTAAATCGATCTAAAAAATCATGTGTTAGAACAAACCAAACTCATCTAATGGAAAATAACATGTATATTATAGAGTACACAAATTAGAAATGAAGCATACCAACGACCCTATTTCAAGGACCTAAACAAGTTATGTACCTCATCCAATATATAAAGTGGAGCTGGTTTGAACAGAAGAAGTGCCAGAATTAGAGAAAGGGCAAGTAAAGATCTTTGTCCTCCACTAAGCTCTGACAGGGACTGTTTCCAAACACCTCCAAAGGCAACACGAACCTCAAGACCATCTAAGAAGTTGCCTCCCTCAGGAGGTTCTAGCTTTGCCATTGTGCCAGGTAATAGGGTAGAAAATATGGACCCAAAGTCACTAAAAAGTACACATTTTTGAAGAGTAAGTACAGAGCTTCTGCAGCTTCAAATGTTGGAAGTAACATGAAATTTTTTTAGATAAATGATTGGTTTTAACTTACTTGTTAACCTTAACCCATGTAACTTTCAGTGTTTCTTTCTTCTTTTCATCAAGCTCCTCAATCACCATCTTGATTTTTGACTTGTCATTCTATGCAATATGAACTCTGAATCACTAAAGATCTTTTGGTGCAAAATAAGCAAAGATATTTAGGTAGAACGAAGTTAGAACAGTTCAACTGTTACAAACCTCAATAATGTTCTTCTTTGATATTAAATCATTGTACTCATCTTCTGCTTTCTCAAACATTGCCATAACTTTCTTGTTGACTCGTTTCTCAAGGCTTAAATACACAAGAGAAAAAATGTGTCAAGAACTGCTGCTTCATTCACGCAAAAGCTGCAGAAAAAATTCTCAGATACACACCCTGATTGCTCAGCTTGTAGCTTTTCAAAAGCTTCCCTTGCTTTACGAGGATTACGGGATTCAAAATCATAATCCGTCCCACTTTTTCCGAAGAGCTGTTTCTCAGATGTTATCCAAGCATGCTTCTCAATCAATTTTTCAACCTTCAAGGAGCAATCTTTCTGTTCCATCTCCATCCGTTTTACCTGCCACCCAAAATGGAAAAAGAAAAGTATAGAAAGAAAGAGGACAATTGGGTTGCAGCCAGAACCCAGAGAGAACACATTTGAGGTGCTTAACACATTACCTCATTTTCCATCTTCTTTCTCTCAAGATTTGTCTCACTAATTTTGCATTGAAGTTCCTGCTGCTCCCTGATAATGCAACTAATCTGTGCATCACACTCCTTCATCTTTGAGCGGAAAAGATTGAGCTCAGATTGTGCCTGATCATGAGAATTTCTTATGGAAGCAATCTGCAGGAGAAATGGATAAGTCATTTATTTCTTCTTTATTTTTCTTTTTCTTTTTCTTTTTTTTTTCTAGAAAATAAATTGACGGGAACCACATTGAAAAAGAGACTTGGTTGTTTACCCTGGTTTTATGTTCATCTACTTCTGAAGTAAGATTGTCAATAAGCTTCTTCAGAGAAACTAACTGACTCTCCAAGGATGCACATTCCTGTTTGACCGCTTCCATTTCCATAATAAGCCTCTCCTTCTCATTTTCATGCCCCTACTAGCATGCACAACAAAGTCAAAAGGAACTCCGAAGCTATTGAGACTTTAATGCACATAATTGATAACAAAAAACAGTTTGCAGTTGTCATGCAATGCATGATACAAAGCAGTTGTATTGCAACTATTGGTGTCAGATAAAGAGACCTATACCTCATATTAAGCCAATGTGAGAAAATCAAATTGAAGCACAGAAGGAAGTAAATCACATATTACAAAAACCATGGGGGAAATCAAGGAAATCAGGACAAATAATTCTAGACAGCAAATCACTCAATAAATATTCACTCTTTTGTTTCTGTCCATATTTAACAAGCCTGGGCCATTTTAAATTGAGTACTTCCATTTCAAAGTTTACATTACTGTTTGTAGGACTTGATACCATGCACTTCACAACATAGAACATAATATAATAAAAGCCCAGACCCAAGCCAAGTATTGTCATGTAGATATACTATTTGGACCCTGAGGTAAAGGAGAATGTATGACATTAGTATGTTGGAGACTCTGTAGCCTGTGCTATGCAGCTAGGATCTGCGAATATCCTTTGTACATAGATCTAGATAAGTTTTGTAGGATTTTGTACGGAGAAGTTTAAAAGTTGCAATGATATAATGGCAAAACACATGCATTTAGAATTACTAATGAGGTTTCCTTTTATAATAATATGCTGGTACGAAGCATATTTTTATATCCATGTGACTCCATTGAGTGCCTATTAACTTGTCTGAGAGCTAAGTGGAAAGATAGAACTTTCATTCTAATACAACACTTGGTTGCAAATACTGCATAAGTTTATTTTAAATATGTTTGTCAGGCAATATTTCATATGCTCAAGTCAGCAATTTCAACACCTACCTTGAGCTCCTTGGTAGCTGATTGCACCTGAGCTTTTATTGCCTTGATCTTTTTCTCTAAATCTTTGAGCCTGCCATTCCGATTATTAGCATGTTCACTGATTGATTTTTCAAGCGATGACACTGTAGTTATGCATTTTTCAAACAAAAGTTGCTTTTCACTGGCAGCAGATTTTGCTTCTGAAAGCTCCTGCTCGATCCTTTTTACAAGCTCACCAAGCTATAATACACCCATCAAGTAAACAAATAAAATGAGGTGGTAGACAGAAAAAATAAGTCATTATTAGTAATGGATTAAGCTAAACAAGAAGTAAATTTCCACTTCACAGTGCTATATCAGAGGCCAAACCACACAACCTTATGATGTTCATTCTGCTCAGCCCTACTCTGGAATAATGAAAGATCATAAGACTTAAGTTCCAACTGTGCCTTAAGGTCCTTATACTTTTTCTGAAGAGGAAGGAGACCAGCAATCTGAAAGTCAAGGGAAAAAAAAAGGTAACAGCAAATAAAAATCAGCATTAAGCAGCATGAGTGGCTACTTGCTGTCAAAGTTTATAAAATAAAAGTAAAGTGCATTTACAAAATTCCTTGTTTTTTTTACAATGTTTACAAAATGAGTAATGTTGATGATTTATTTTATTTTAAGCACTATGTTTATTTTTATATGTACATAAATATATAAAATAAGATATCAAATTAAATAAAATGAATCTTATGATTCACCATTCACTATTTTAACAAAATGATTCACGATTCAATTCGCAGTTTGACAACAATGGCTATATTCTCAATTAAATTAAATTAAATTCATATTTTTTTACTACAACATCCTATGAAGCACGGGTACTCTCAAAATAGGAAAATGAGTGAGAGCACTAATTAGTGCTACCACTAATGATGTGGCAGTGGACCCCACCATGAATGATTTGATGTTTTAACCTTGGTGTTGTATTTTTTTTCTTTTTTTATTGAGTGCCATGTCATTAGTGATCATTTTAGAACTCCAAAATTAGTGGTCTCTATCATTGTTGCTCAAAATATTATCCTACGGCATGGGAACGCTTCGAATACTTTTCTAGGTACGTCAGGGCATAAATTCAACTTTCAAAAAAATATAACGTTACTATAACAACTATATTAAACCTATTTTTAAAAACTTTAAAATAGTGTATTTTGGCAATTATAAAAAATTCTAAAAATAATTGGGGTTCTTTTTTGGCTTCCTTTTCTCTCCGACTCTACTTCTCTCTATCTTCTTCTCTATTTTTTCAACAACCCTCCATCTCTTGGAGTACCTATCTTTATCTCTATTTTTTCTACCCTCTCTATCTATTGTTCACTATTTTTTTTTATAAAAATGTATTTCTTTATGCGCATACGCATACCCCTATTTTTTAGGTTTTGACATATTGGCCTACCCATCCCCGTACCTGCACTCGTGCTTCCTAGACCCTATCCCATGTTAGTTTAGGTCTTCTTCCCCCTAACATTTTCATTTTTGGTTATCATATCACTTTTCATATAGTTGTGTCTATAAATATTAATCGTATCGCACATGACCAAACCATCTCAACTTGTTCTCTCTTAGGCCCCGTTTGTTTTCAGAGGTAGAATGGAGGGGATTCATAGTGAGGAGATTAATAGTGAGGGGATTGTTAGTGAGAGGATTAAGTAAAATTGTGTTTGTTTTGAAGATAGTTGTTAGTGTAGGAATTGTTAAATTATTTTTATATAAAATAATAAAACAAATAAAAAAATATAAAAAATTAAACATTAATATTTATAAAAAAATTCCCAATATATAAAAAATTAAAATAAAATAAAAAAATTTCTAATCCCCTCACTATTTTTCTAATACCATCTCCCCAACCTCCATCTATATCACCTCCACCATCTTAATCCCCTCAACAACTCTACAAACAAACACAATACTAAATAACACCTCCACCATCCTAATCCCCTCCCATTTACTTAACCCCAAGACAAACGGGCCCTTAACTTATCTTCAATTGGTATTATTCCTACCATTTCAAAAATATATTCATTTCTAATTTTGTATTTCCTAGTATTACTATACATCTATCTAAGCATTCGTATCTCAGTTACACTCATTTTATGAATATTTTGTTTTTAGTTGCCCAACATTTTGTTCCATAAAACATCACCGGTTTATAATTGTTCTATAAAAATTTTCTTTCAATTTTGTTGGTATTCGCCGATCAAAGATTAGATCCCCTCTGTTTGAGCTAACTCTTACTATTCTAACATAATAAAATAAAAATGTATTTGTTATGCAAAAAATGAAGAAATTATTATTATTTTGCATGTATGCATATAACAATATACATATATACAGTGTGTCGAACATGCGTCCAAATGTATCATCTTTTTTTTCAAATTTTTCAAATTTTTTACAATTGAACATGCTTCAAACACTTGGGGACACACGTGTCCATCGCCCCACATGGAACACATTGCAATTTTCAGAATATAAAGCTTTTAAATAATAATTAGAAAAAGAAAAAAAAAATATATGCATTTATAGCTTAATACCCCTCTCCTAACGTTTTAATTTTAAAAATCCCAAAACTTTACATTTCTTTATGAATATATATTCTTTTAAAATCTACATCAATATTTTTTTGCTAACACTTCTTTTTTAAAATGTAGAATGTGAAAAGTGAATTCTTTCTGTTTTAATATAATAAAATATAAATTTATTTGTAACGTATAAAATGAAGAAATCATTATTATTTGCACACATACATATAAGAATATATACATATATATATTTATTGTTGTGTCCCAATCACGTCATGTAGTTTTTTTTTTTTTTTTTTTTTTTTTTTTAAATTGTTGTCTTGGTGTTTCCATTTCGTGCCGAATCTGGGTTTTGTGTCCATATACATGCTTCTCAGCTCATCCACTTCATTTTGTTCAAATAAAGAGTAATGTTCAAGATTGACCTTGGCATCAATTTCAGATAGCCTCTTCTGATGAACAGAAAGTTTTAATTCAGCCTCTGCCAAAGCATGAAGCTGTCTTAACAGATCACCCCCACCCCTGCAAAATTTAAGTAATTTAGTCAGTCAGATTACTAGAAGTAGATGGGAAAAATTAAAAGCGCCTTGCTGCGCAGAAATAACAGTAAATACGAATTTAGCTTTTCAACACAATCTTGTCAGCAAAAAAAAATTTAAAAAAATAAATAAAAAACAACTACATTTCATAATTGAATTAGCATTTGTCAAGTCAGTGTGGTCTTGAAAAGAATAGTGAATAACAACTGAACAACACTATAAATCATTATCACCCTCAGGATCAGGCAAAAGCATTGTTGTGGACACTTTAATCGAAGAACAAGATCTATTACTTACTTGCGACTTCCACCTGTCAGAAGTCCACTTGGCTGAAATATATCACCCTCAAAAGTGACACTTGGGATGCCAATTTCCCTATTAAAAGCAACCTATGGACCAGTCATTGAGTGAAATTCAGATTAAGAACAATCATATTAAAATAAAGAAATAAATAAAAACGTATTCAAGGTACAAAGGTTTGAAATTGAAGGTAAAAGGCAATAAGCGAATGATGTGGACATGCATGAGCTGAAAATTAAGTTTAGACAAACACCAAAACTAAGGGTCAGCTTATTAAGTTAATATAAATAATATACTGCTTTATGTAGAATAAGTACATTTTTTTTGTGTAATAAAGTCATTGGTGCAGAGAGTCTGTCCATGTCACTGATTTCAAAACAAAATGAATGCTGAATCGATCACTGACAAACATTGTTTAAGATAAGGTGCTGAAGTCCGAAACATGGCCAAACACTGCAGAAGTGTGAGTGAAACACAGTAAAAATACTAATAAATCTGTCTTTGCTACACAGAGAAATTAACTAGTTATCATCTTAAACATGGAAGTATATCTTCATGTGGAGTAGAATATGTTTTAAATTATGAAATTGAAATAATTTTATAATTAACTCCACTAAGAACTAGACAGAAAAGTAGTAGAGATAGAGGTAACAAAATTTAACACTTCAGCATATCAATTGAATGGAACCAAAGTAACAAGATTGCATTGAAGGATGAAATTTTCAATCATCAATTCCAAATTTTGATAACCAAATCCAGTATCGCATGCTCTATTACTCTTTGTAGTATTGTTTAGTGAACTAAAATTCATGTAAATCAAAAGTAACAGTTGCACTCAACTTTAACTTGACCAGAACATAGCAGGAACAAAATTTAAGGGGAAAAAAACATAATTCAACTTCAAAAAGCAATTTACAATATTAGAATTTATCATCAAGAAAAGCACCTCAGGACAAAACATTTCTAAAGAAGACTAACCTCCCTCGCTGCATCAATAGTTTTGCAAACAAAGATTGAACCAAACACGTATTCCATAGCACTCTGCAATGCAAAATGCAAAAGTTTTGTTAATTGGTAATAAACAAAATGCAACTAACCCGAGCAAAAAAGTTCAGTATTCCAACTAAAAACATACACATGTGAATGTTAATGGGACTTTGGCTGATTCTTAGCCAGATAAATATGGTTCATGGTGACAAACCAACCCAAGCTATGTGTCCCAATCAAATGGGGTCAGCCACATAAATACTTTTTCATTATTCTGCTCTCTCAAGGGTTATATGCCGAGTCAAAAAATAAAATCATGATGGCACAACAATAAATAAATAAAATAAAATAAAATAAAATAAAAAGGCAATTGCCAGAAACATTCCAACACAATTGTACATGCACAAAACATTGGCCGGTCGCCAGCATCACCAAACATAAAAATTCAATGAGCAACAAAAGGATAGGAATAACAATAATAGCATATGTGAAATCATACCTTCAGTTCCTTGTCATATCCTACCAAAGACAGTGCCACTTCTGCATTCCCTTTGCCAACCTGAAAAGAGAGCAGTAATCTTGTAACAAATACAATCAACCACAGGAGATAAATGTATAAAGAAAGCAAAATACAGAAACAAACCAATCTAACGGCAGCATTTTGCACTCTATGAGGGACAGGATGGGATTGAATTTTGTTTAGAGGGATTATTGTTACTCGTCTTCGAAGATCACCATTTTGAAGCAGTTGCTTGCCAGTATTTTCTGTGTCTACTATAATATTAAACAACTTTCCCCCTGCTGCAACCTGAACAGGAACTCAGCATAAGAGTCAGTAAGTAGTGAAATGTTTAGAAAACATCAAAACGTGGCAACAAAATATACAACTTCTAAAATAAACAAACTATATGACAGCATGCATGGCCAACCTCTAAGGCAGTCGCTGTTGAGCCATCCTTCACTTTAATGAGTTTAGCAACCACACCTTTCACCTTTGACCTATCAAAATTCTTCACAGGGTCACGGTATGCAAAATCCACATTAGTCAATTTTGCAGATAGAATCCGAATTTCATCTTTCAACTTTTGCACTATCTCTGACTCAGCTGCACGATCCTGAAGAAAAAAATTTCAATTTATTACAACTTACAATATACAAAAGAACTTTAACCAAACAGATACCTCATTCCATTTGAGGTATAATTTGTTGCAGAACCACCGTTGGAAGAGTGTACCTTTTGTAAGCTTTCCATCTGTCCATCTTCGTATGGAAGAGATTCCAAAGCCATTTTAACACTTTCCACATCTTTTCTTCTAGTATTCAGCTCATTTTCTACAGAAACAGCTTCTTCACGCTTTGATAATAGCTGACGTGATTTCTCTTTCAACTCTTTCTCAGAATGGCTTATTTTTGTTTTCAACTGTTTCAGTTCTGTTTCTGCATTTCCAACAGCTACTTTGGCATCACCTAGTTGATCTTCAAGACATTTCTCCTCACTTCCGCTGCTCTTACCAGCTAAGACACCCTAACCACAGAAATTGCACAAGTCTTAAGGATAAAACCAACTATACAGGATATGAATGCAAGCAACAAAAATGTTAATGGAATGCAATGCACAACAACCAACTATACAGGCAATATTTACCTGGTAGTCCTTTTCATAGTCTTCCAAACTCTTAGAAAGTTCCTCAACTCTCTTTTTCAGATCAGCTGCTCCATCTTCAGCATTTTTTACAGCAGAGGCCCTCTCTTCTACAGACTGCTTTAATTCTTCAGTGCTTCTCACAATCTGGCAACATCAAGACATAAAATCTATATATTATGAGAGGCAGAAAGAATAAAATTCATAAAACATTAATTTGAGGGATATATGCATAGTTATTTTAGAGAGATAGCATCAACTTATTAAGCCACTTGGTACCTTTTCAGCGTTCTCTTTTTCAGTGTTGAGAGTTTTCTCTTGATTTTTCAGTATAGATGCTTCCCTCACCAGATCATGAGAAAGAGCATCTACTTTCTCTGACAAACTTTTTACCTCCCCGGCCATACTTGCTTCTTTTTCAGCGGTCAATTTTGATACTTTTGCTTCCATCTCCTGTATTTCCATACGCATCCTTTCTGCATTATCATCAACCTCAGAAATCTTAGCCTTTGTTACCTCTACAATGCCAACCGCATTATCTCTAATCTTCTCTGCCTGAACATATTCATAAGCAATGCAGAATCTTTTAATTCGATCCAATTCTGCAATCCCATTAGCCCATTGCATGTATTGCATCTTCTCCTTCCTCAACTTCTCCAAAGCAGGAAGTATTTCCTGGTCAAGAAGCTTATCAATCTCGTCTACCTTACTCTGTTTTTTCTCAAGTGTTTTCAAAGCAGTCTCTTTCTTTGTTTCATACATTCTTGTCCCAGCAGCCTCTTCCAGCATTGATAATATTTCAGGGGGTTTCATGTTTAGGACCTTAGTAATGCGTCCTTGCATTATGAGAAAATGTGGATTATTGACATTAAGCTGCACAGAATGGAAAAGATTTTGCACTCGACTAGGCTGCGCAAGGTGACCATTTATTAAGTATTTGTTCCTTCCACCAACCACAATCTGCAAAATCAGCGCAAAAAATTCTCAAAATACCTCCAATTGAAATTCCCTAGAAGCAAATGGATCAATTAATACAGAAAAAGGCATAGTTACAACCTCAAGTGTAAACAATGAAAATGGTGACAACTTGTAATTGCATGTTTTATTATTTTTTTATTTTTTCCAATGAAGATGGTTAAATGGTGTGATATTTTTACCAAAACATTGACAAACTACTAAACTAGTCTGCATTTAATGTGATATTATACCAGATATAAAGATATGGCTAGCTAGAAAAACTTCACAAATTATTTCTTGCAATCCAAAAAGCATAGTACTATAAAAAATCATGGGTATTATATATAATACATTGAGAACCAATTAGTCTCCAATCTGGTTTTGCGTAGAAAGAGAACACGCATTTCTCAATACCAAGAATCTCATCTCACCAAATTTTTCATGTGTTTCACCCTAGGACCTCTGATAACTCCATTTAGTTGAGGATTAAACAGATTAATTAGTTACTTGACTTTCTTATGATCTTCCCATATAAGCACAAAGTGCACTCCATAATTCACCTAGTTATGCAGATTCCATTGCATTAGCCAAAAAAATCATTTTGTTTCAAGATGTAGTCCAAATAAAACCCCAAGGAGGTTGAATGAGCTGTAAAGACTCAAGTGTAAAATCCAAGGCCTCGAGTTCGAATCACCTAAGGGGCCACTGGAGGTTACCTGGTTGTTAACTTCAATACCCTAGGATTAGTTGAGGTGCGCGCAAGCTAGGCCACACACGCAGTTATCAACAAAAAAAGATATATAGTCCAAATACCATTATATGCAGATTTGCAAATTCATATGTAAATCATGACCAACAACGAAATTACAGCATTTCACAACAGGCAAACACCAAACTTGCATACATACATACATATATATATATATATATATACCTGACGGGTCACTGTAATCTCAGAACAATCCTCATAGCCAAGAGGACTTCGATTCCTGTCGGAATTATCAAACACAACAGACACTGTGGCCTTTGTAATCCCAGCTTGGCCTTGCTTGTACACGAGCTCCTGAAGGTTGGAAGCTCGAACCTGTTGCAAATTCGTGATACCCAAAACGAAGCATATGGAGTCGAGAATGTTGGATTTGCCAGACCCGTTGAGCCCGGTTATTGCATTGAAGTAAGGATCGAAACCAGGAACCACTGTCCTCGTAGCATACGACTTGAAACCCTCCAAGCATATCTCTTTGATGTACATGTTTTAAACTTCAATTCACAATTCAAAACCCTAGATTGCGAATTACAGAGTGAAATCAAATGTGAAATTAGGGTTTCGGAGTTCGAAAACCTGTTGATTTACTGACTAGAGTGTTCTGTGGAAGACATTTTTTTAGAGAGAGAGAGAGAGAGTTTCAAAACAACGGATCTCTGAAACGTGTGGGTGGAGTGGGGAACTTGGTAAGAAATTGGAGACGCAAAAAGGCGGGAAATGCCATTTGGGTCTTTCCGAATAATTGTTCAAAATTTCAGATACATATCGTTAATTGCACTAACACCCCTCAATTATAAAAATAACCAATTGGCACACGCCCTGTTTGGGAAGTGGGTTGGCTTTTTGACTTTTTGACTTTTTTGGCTATTTTAACCTGGGCTTAAAAGCTTGGTTTGGGAAGGGCTTTTTGGCTTTTTAGCTTTTTTGAGTTTTTTTGTGAGAGAAGAATGTAATGATTATGGGTTGGATGTGATGTTTTGTTTGTTATGGCTAAAATAGCCTATTTTGTTTTTTGTGGCTAAAATAGCCAAAAAAGCCTGCAAACCCACTTGCCAAACACAGGCGTAATACATGTGTGTAAATAAGTAAAAATCTACAATTATTATACAAGTGTGAAGAGCTTGTCATATTTTTTACTATTTTTAAATTTTAATTTTATCTTCTCAAATCTACCAAGAGTCTTATATAAACCAAATATCTCTTTATTTTTAAAGTTGAATACTTAAAAATGATATATCTGCTTTCAAGAGTTTTATTTATAAACAAATAGTCTCCCTTCTTAAATAAAAAAACAAAATAAAAAAAACATTTCTCTATTTTTTACATTAATGATGATTGAAGAATAAAAAATAATTAGCCTGTCTTATTTTTTATGTCTGCTTCTATACTGATATACATGGGCCTGGTTTGGGGTGTTTAAAAAAATCAAAAAAGTCAAAAAGTTATAAAAAAAAAAAAATAAAGCATCACTATTTACAAATTAAAAATATAAAAAAAATTAATATACATAATGTTTTAATACAAACTAACTTTACACCACTCTAGGTACTGACGTGAAAGGAAAGTACAGTGAAAGGGGAAAAAAAATTTACATATATATATTCATTAAGTTTGATGGTAATGTTGGATTCGTGGGGGCCCACCGCAGGTTCGGTTTTGATAATTCGAACCATTCAATATATAGAAATCGTCCAATACTATATGCTTGAAAAAAATCAAGTTGATCAGATATCGCTAACTACGTGATCAAATCAATTTTGTATAAAAAATTGATGGTGTTATAGTTAATAGTTGACAAAAAAAACTAACACGATCAGATAGCTATCGATATCCAATCAATGTGATTTTTTACAAGTATATAGTACTCGACGAGTTCTACATATTGAACGGTTCCGATTAGCAAAACGAGACCAATGGTGGGCCCCCACGGGCCAAACAACACAGTCCAATTCAAGTCCAAAAATGAGGCAATCATTTCCCCATCTCCTAACCAGCCCACTACACTGCCCAAACTGTACGGGTTACTTCATTAACTTCTCCTATACACTTATTTATACAATTTTTTAATATACATTTTTTTGTAAAAAGTCAAAAAACTAACCTAAACATTCATATTTTTTTTCCTCAACTTCTTAGTCTAAAAAAACAAAAAGTGCACTTATTTAAGACACCCCAAACAACCCCATAATATTTATAATAGTCACGTGTCTGCTTCTATAATGATATACACAATTGTCTATCATGGATCAAACCACTGTGAATAATTTTTGTTGATTGTTAAAGTTGTATGCATTCGTTTAAATCTAAACAGAGGAAAGCGCATTTATTTTTAAAACGGAGATTTGTGTTACGTCTCAAAATTTCACAAGTTATATTCATACACTTTCTTTTTATTTAAATTATATTTTATGAACTGTAATATTTTACATATTACTTTAATAACCAATGTATAATGTCAAAATTCTAAATTATAACTACTTTCGTTGGTTTTATTTTTTAAATCTATTTTTCAATTTTTGATTTTTCATATTTTCTCAATTTTGGTGATTAAAAATACTGAAATTTCTTCATAGTTTATATTTAAATTGTTCTTTTACATGAAAATCTAATATCTAGTAATCTAAATAGAATTTAAAAATAAAATATTGGTAAAAAAATTATAAATTACAACATGTACTGATTTTTTGTTATTATTATTATTATTTAATATTAATAATTTCATTCAAAAAGAATACACAAAAAATTATTTTCTAATTGTATTTTGATTAAGTGAATCTAAGGCCAAGTTTGGGATCTTTAGAAAAAGCCAAAAAGTCATCAAAAAAGCCAAAAAGTTATCATATTTTCATGTTTTGGGCGGCCAAAATTGTGTCTGACCTAGGGAGGGTAAAAATACAATTTTACCCCTGTTTTTTTATCCCTTCCTCAACACAATACTATCCTTCACCCGAATATCCCCTTCTCCCTCTCTCTCTCTCTCTTTGTCTCTCTTTATCAGTCCGTTCTGCAGAGATAGCCACAAAAGGGGACAATCCGTCTGCGGAGATATCCACACCACTGACTGCCGGAGTTCCGTCGCAGCCTTCGCCGTGCAGCATCGCAACAACCGTGGGGAAGTCCGAGCTCGACTCGATCGCAAATTAGCAGTAACCGACGGCTGTCGAACAATCCGTCGCCTAGATCTGCACCACTTCCGACCACATCTACACCACGCCGGCCCGTTTCTCCCTAACTACAAGGTAACATCTCTTCCACGCAAATTAATTTTCTCACTCTCGCTCTCCTTTCTCTGATTGTGTTCCAAAACTTTTCCTCTTTTCTACCTCTCTTCTTTTATCTCTAACACCGAAACCCTCTCTTCTCTCTACCGAAACCCTCTATGAATCCGAAACCCAAACCAGATCTATAGATCTGGTTGTAAGATGTTCATTTGGGTTCGGCGATCTGTTTCACGATGTAAGCATCTCTCACGATTTCGGTTCGAAGTTCACAATGGACCCATCTCTCTGTGAAGATGGGTAAAAAGAACATCAGGGAAGAAGATGTTGGACCTTGCAAAAAATTTCCATGTATTTCTTTTTCTGCAATTATATTTGTGCTTTTTTTTGAGAAATTACTTGAAATTTTTCTGAAGTTGCATAAAATTCTTAATTGTTGTTGTTGTGATTGTTGTGTGTCTACGAATTGTTGTTGTAATTTTTGAATTTTGTTATGAAAAATTATTTTCTATTTGATAGAGTTTTGGTGGAAAGGATGAGGGTGGGACAAATGGAAGAAAGAAAACCAGTGGGATGCTGATCTGCAAGTTTTGGCATTATAGCATGCAACTGGATTACTTTTTTTGGCCCAAACTGTCATATTATGGGTTTTGTAGTAGTTTTTGCAACTCATTGGCAATGCTCTAACATTGCTAGTGTGTATGTCTTTGGCTAATTTAGCTCTGTTACACACGAAAAAATATATATATATATATGTTTAGCTTCTGAACCAAAATATTTTCAAATGCTTCATCTGATGCCTTGTCGATTCCCAACAACTCTTAATGATGGATCTGCACCAGTTCACATACCATACTGAGGATCCTAATTCTTTCTATGTTTTTTTTATTTTTATAAATCTAAGATAATGAATTTCTACAATTTTTAAAGGTGAGCCTGCATTTATTGTTTGTTCTCTGATAGTGATTCCCCGATTGTTTGTTCTTATCAGAATGAATCTTTTAGTTAATGCACACTACTTGTAAATACATTAATTGATGAGCTATTCTATGAACCATATTGTTCTAAAATTGAAGTTATAATATGCATTGTTTTTATCTTAGTTTAATGGGTAAAAATATTCAAGGGGAGCTTCCATACAATGACAATGCATGGATATAGAGCTGTAAGCAAGGGCTTTGTGGACCGTACAAATAAGCTGCATGACGTCAAGCAACTACAGAACAAGTACGCATTGCTGAAAAAGGATTGGCAGTCGTGGTCAAAACTGATGGACAGCAGGCATGGGCCAACCGGCATCAGTTACAATGAATCCACGGGTTTGATACAAGCATCTGACGACTGGTGGGCGCATTACGAAAAGGTAACATTTCCATTGAGTTTTACTTACGTCATTTACATGGATACTTAAACTGTTATTATTACAACTTTAACGATCAAAGTTATGTCAGATAAAGTTCTTCCTGTGGTTGAATAATGAATGGAAGGGGGAATATTATGATCATATTGGAATTATGTTGTCGGTGCTAGTTATTTGACCACGTATGTAATTATTAATTTAAAGCAAGGAGGGGGGACGAAATGGGGTTGCTGATGCATTGCGACTTTTTGGTGGGGTTAATGGTTTTCATGACTTTTTTTGCTTTGGTATTTGCTTGTTTGGGTTGTCTTTTGGAATTAGGTCATTGTCTTTGCATACATTAGGTTATTGTTGTTGATGTTTGCTGATCATTGTCAAGTTGATTTTTTTTTTTAAAGTCAAAACTGCATAATTCGGTACTGGAGGGTTAATAATTATTGCTGAATTGATAATGAGAAATGGATATTGTAGCTTTAATTTTTTTTCCTTGGCAGCAGAGTCACAAATTATGAATTTGGGGCATTTATTCAACATTTTTTTAATTGTTATTATTATGTTTGGGTTATTTCTTTGACTTTGAAAAGCCATCTTCAAGCTGATGTTGTGGGATAATTTTGCCTCTTTGGCTTCAACATTTGATAAGAATTGTTGTATTTTGAAGCATTACTTGAAATAGTTATTTGTTTTGTAAATTTACGTTGTTTTCTTGATCACATGACTCAGTGTTGCATTTTTGGCATTCTTTGAACTTTCTTTTTTTTAATACTTGATTTATCTTTCTCTGTAGATCAAACCGAACCTTAGTCATTTAAAATTGTTCTTGAAGCAAATGATTTATCCATTTCTTATTTGGGGCAAATTCAAAATTATTCGAATTGTGTTTGAGTCAATTACTGACTTTGGTAAATGACCCACGGCAATTTCATTATAATTCAAAATTATGCTTTGTTTAAAACTCTCATTATGCCCCCAAAATTGTGGATTCATGTTGGGATCTCTTTTTAAAAAAAATAAAATAAAAAGGAGAAGAAGAAGAAAAGAATTTAAAAAATCTCATGTATGAAATTTGTATGGTAAGGAACTTTATAATTCTCCATTCATTTGAGTTGAGTTATTATTGATGGATATTTGCGTTACCGCATATAACACTTCAATGTTCGCTCATATTGAGAGTTGAAGGCTAACAGTACGGTTGACAAGAATATCACAACATCTTCCCTTACTTTTGGAAATGGATATTCTCATGGCTCCATAATTTTTGTATTGCAATTAAAAACTGAAGTGGTATTTTTTTTTGTTTTTTTTTTCTTTTATGGTAAGCTCAGTGATTTAGGGATATTACGTTGAGTATTGAACAGTTTTGCTGGAGAAATGTGAGCAATGGGAGCGCGCATTGGAACAACCCAGATATGAGCAAATATGTTTTAGATCATTTATTGGTTGCCTTTAAGTCATTCACACAATCTTCCCTTACTTGAAAATGGATGTGATAACCCAACCCTTTAACCAGACCTTTAATTTCTATAGTCGAGCTTTATATCATATTGTCAAAACAGTGTCGACGTGTTACTATGCTGAAACATATTTTATGAGACTTTGAAAAGCTTTAGGAAAGCCAAACTTGGCTTTAGTTTGCAGTGTTGGTATGGTCCACATTGCTTACACAGATGCAAGAAATGTTCCTAAAATTGTTGCAACTGGGAAACCTGCCAGTTTGTAGAATCAGCTGCAACAATTTCGTGTATTACATCTCAAATGGCCTGACTTTGCCTAGCAGTCTTGGAGCATAAGTGGATATGTATCCAGCCATTATGACAACTAGTAGTAATTGGTGAAGCATGCATGCTGCCGAATAGGATCAATTTCTGCTGCTATTTGTGTACTTAAGAATAGAATTATATTAATTAGGATTGTCACCTTGATTGTCTTTCAGATCTCATTGTCATTAATTTCCTTTTCACTATGATTTCTAACGTTTCTACTGCCGGTAAAATGACCATCACTTGCCACAAATTATTATTGATGGATATTTTGTTTTGTGTTTTCCCCAGGTTGACAAGAATGCGATCAAGTTCAAAACAAAACCGTTGGAGCACATGGACCTCATGCGAAGGGTGTACGAAGGCGCTACGGCAACCGGAAAATATGCATGGACACCAGGTGTAGCGTTCGAACCTGTGGCAACCGATGACGGTACTTCGGCAGCGCTTGAAGAAGACTGCGAGGACAGCAGCGGGTTACCCCCTTTCCAGCCTTCCGCGCAGCATGAACACACTGTGCACGACACTGTTGCGCAAGAGGATGGCACGCCGGCAACCGTGCATGCTGCGTCATCGGGAATTAACGCTGACGACACACCAACAAGTGGCAGGAGCAAACGCAAGTCGCCAGGCCCAACACACCCACAGCGGAAAAAAGGGCAGAGTGAGGGAGCTTCTCTGTTGGCGAGTAGTATGGAAAACCTTGCATCCTCCGTGAAATTACAACAACGACAAATCCGCGTCTCACATGAGTACGCAGATTCGGCACAGTCCCTCATTCAGAAGTGTATCAGAAGGTTGTATTCGCTGGAAGGGCTCGATCCGCAAGACCCGCTAGTTCCTTTTGCTCAATCGGTACTTGACAACCCGGCAAATCAAGCCTTAATGATGGAGATTCCTACAGACGCGGCTGTCATTGCTTGGTTGCGAACCAAGAAGTCCCGTGAGCAATGCATCGGTGGCCCATCAGCAGCAAATTCCGGAATGGGTGGTGGCTGGTTATGAGACAGTCCAGCAAATAAGTTGTCTCTTTGTTAATGTTTATGTGTGGCTTCTTTATCCTTCCTTCCCTCCCAAAAAATATTGCATTGTTTGTGGAATTTTTAGGACATTATCAGTTGATATAATATTTGTGTGATGATGTTGATGTTATACTATGTGCTTGTTGCTGCCTTTTAAATTTCGTGCATTTTTTAGTAAGCAACTGTCCAATGAAGCAACAGTCCAATTAAGATCTTGCTTTAATTCCATTAGCAGTTGAGAAGTGTTTTTGT